GGCCGGACACCCCTTGGCTCCTGCCGCAGCGCCTGAGCGAGGGGAGCACCCGAGGTGTCCCACAGGGCAGGTGTCACTCCTGTGGGCCTCCAGAGCCCACTGAACCCAGCGATGGGCACAGGGCCGCCTTGGTGGGCTCCGAGTCACGCGGCCCCTGCCAGCACAGAGGTCGCTGTGAACTTGAGAGTGTCGGAAAATCTCAGTGAGCTGAGCCACGGTGCTCTGCACTTCCCCTGCTCCGTCCCTGTCCCTTTTTGGGGAAGGCACAGGCAGGAAGCAGTCTTGCTCCACACAGTGTTGTGGTGCTGCCTCTTTATGCCCTCCCTCCTGGTCCTAAGCCTGGCCTTGGTGCTTCGGTCCTGCTGCCCTGGCTCTTCTGACCAGGCTGCAGGGCTGGGAGCTGGAGCTCACAGGAAGGTGTCCTTCACCCTGTTTCTTTTGTATATAAATCTAAGGCTACACCTGTCCTTGAAGAGATAGAAGGAGACCTGAGGATCTGCTCTGAGGTGGTGGTAGCTCTTTACCACCCCTGAGGAGCGGGGGCAGCTGAGGCTGGCTGGGTTCAGTTCCTGCTGTGCCGGCCAGGCAGCAAAGCCAAAACACAAGTCCCAGACTGGCTGGGCCCAGCAGCGCAGAGATTGTCCCTGAAGGTCACGGGCCATGCAGGCTGGATGTGACCTCCCTCCACACTCCCTGGCTGTGATGGCAGCGTTCCTCATTTGTGTGTTACTGCAGGGGAGGGGGTGCGCTGATTGTGCAGGCAGGAGGGGAGGGATCAGCCTTACCACTTCCCTTTTTGGGGCTGGCTTGCCTGGCAGTGCTTGTACATTCTCCTGCTGTGTCGGGTGCTGAGTCTCAGTTTGTGCGTGGAGGGGTTCAGCACCCAAGGGTGTCCCTGCTGTGAGGCTGGCAGGTGTTCCTATGCTGCAGCCACGAGGCCCGCCTGCAGGATGAGCCATTCTACTGGTCTTAGCTGTGGGCAGAGGAGGGCTTTTCCAACCTGGGGCACGCTCTCCTGCAACTCCAGCAACGCTGTGTTGCTGCTGGGCGCGTCGCTGGCTTGCCAACACCAATGCCCCCAGGCTGCAGTGACCTCTTTGTTGCTTTTAAGCATTTTAGAAGTCTCCTGTTTTCCTGGCCGTATGCAGGGTCAGTGTCACACAGACACTGGCTCTAGTTGGCTTGGTAAGGCCGTCCTGTCACCCTCTTTAGCTGGTGTGGAGCAGACAGTGCCACGCTGCCTGCACTTACCTGTTCCGTAGCTGGGGCCCTTGAGCCCCTGTGGCCCAGCGTGGCCTGCGGGCGCTCAGCAGGGTCAGGGAACAGAGAACGGGTGTGACAACCACCGCCATGCTCTTCTGGGCAAAGACTGGGATGGGGTCTCAGAGTGTTGTGGTCTGGGCTGCCTCTGTCCTGCACTGATGTGAGAGTGCTGGGAGAACTGGGCTAGGACACTGGAGCTGGGGGCACCCTGCCCCATAGCTTTGTATGCCTGAGCCAGTCTTCCCAGTAACCCTCCTACATGCTGTGCTGTGCTCCTGGACCTCTGCCCAAGGGCTTCGTGGGTGGGTAAGGAAGCCCAGTGCTGGGCTGGTAGCTGGTGCCTGTCTGAAGGTTCCCGTGTCACCACTCTTGCTTTGCAGGGATCTGCTACACGATATTTGACCTGGGTTTCCGCTTCGATGTGGCATGGTGAGTTCTCAGGACACACTGGCATCCTGAGGGCTGCATGAGGAGGTGGATGGGTTGACAGTTCCCTGGGTGGACAGGGTTGGCAGTTCCCAGGGTTGATGGAGTCAGCAGTGCCTGCAGGGAGTAGTGCTCGCGTTTGAGCAACGGGCAGCGGCCCCCGCACCGCAGGGGAGCGAGAGCTACAGGGCACGGTGCTGCTGCTCCTCACGAGGCAGGATGGATGCAGCCCACGTGTACGTATGGCTGGCTCCATCTGGGGTCCTGCTGCAGCCATTGCTTCACTTCCCACCCCCTCTCCCAGCCTCTTCCCCATCATAGTGAGGGTTTGGGAGGAAGATCTTGGTCCATGCAGGTGAGGGTCCTGGATTGCTGGCTAGCAGAGAGGCTCTTGCGTCCCACTGTCTAGCAGTGTGCAACCCATCTTGGGCTGCTTGGTGAGGTGGGTGATATCTTTTTGGGGGCTGTGCACCATGACTAGGGATACTTGGCCTTTGTGGTAACTCATGTCATTTCTTCCTCTCCAGGTTCCTGACAGAGACCTCACCCTTCATGTGGTCCAACCTGGGCATTGGCCTGGCCATCTCCCTGTCTGTGGTGGGAGCTGCCTGGTGAGTGGGGCTTGCTCTTCAGCAGGCCCCTGGTGTCCCACCTTTGTAGCTGTGCATACACCATGGTTTCCTGTAGCAGGGTAGGGGCAAAACAGCATCTATGTGCAGGGCTGTGGGGCTCTGTGGGTCAGCCCAACAGTAGGGCCAGGCTGCTGGGCTCCTGGGGAGTCTCGGTAAGCCATCTTGCAGGCTGCAGTGGCCGTGGAGAGGCAGGGGCGTCCCTGGCTCTCTGGAAGCCCTACCCCTGAGCCTGGGCTGGGCAGTGGTGGCTCTTGTGCCCCAGTGGTTCTGCTGGTGTAGGTGGTGGAGCTTGAGGCCACTTGTACCTTGGGGGTGGGCAGGCCAAGTCTGAAGTGTCCCCCAGTTGCATGCCCAATTCTTTGCTCTGCTGAAAGATCCTGTCTTCCCTATTGAATCCTGCGAGTGCCAGACCCTCCACCAACCACCCTTGTCTGCCACAGGGGGATTTACATCACGGGCTCCAGCATCATCGGTGGTGGAGTCAAAGCCCCTCGGATCAAAACCAAGAACCTAGTCAGGTAAGCACATACCTGGGGTTAGTGCTGCTCATGCCACACCTGAGCAGGGCAGGTCCCAAGCTAGTGCAGAGGCCTCTGTCCTATCTCTAGCTGGGTGCTGCTGGCAGGCTGGTTGTTGCTGAGCTGCTGATGGTGTTTGCTTACAAAACAAAGAGCCCTAGAGGAGCCAGAGCCCTGCTTTGAAGAGTCACTGTGTGATTGCACACAGTGAATGAGCCGAGTGTGTTCAAAACAAACACCCTGAGATCACGCTGCCTGCCCCTGGTGAGGGTTCCCCTGGCCAGACCTTGCACAGCCCTTCCCCAGGGAGCAGAATGGGGCAGGGCTCCTCGGGCCTACTTCCCACAGGCCTGTTGCAGCTTCCTAGGGTTGCACAGCCCAACCTTTGTGTCTGGCAGCTCCCCTTTGTTGGAGAGGAAAGCAGTGGGTAGGCTGGGCTGCCTTTCTGCCCTTGGCAGCTGTGGAGCAGTCTCGGAGCTGGCCGTGGAGTACTCTGGCTTCTGGCTGTGGCTGGGCATGAAGTGGCAGGGACTGCTCAGGGTGGGCCGCAGCCTGGAACACTGTGGTCAGACTGATGCAGACACTGTGCTCAGACTTTGCCTTTCTCCCACAGCATCATCTTCTGCGAGGCAGTGGCCATATATGGGATCATCATGGCGATTGTCATCAGTAACATGGCTGAGGTAGGGGAGGACCTGGGCAGCTGGGCATGGGCCAGCTTTGTGAACTGTGGCCCTGTGGGGACTTTGGACACTGTTGTGGCTCTGGGAGCCCCTGGGCTGGTGGCCTGTGTGGTGGCCCTTGTTCATGCTGAAGAATGGGCTGGGGGAGCACACGCAAGGCAGGTGTCATGAAGCCATCCAGGGGCATGGAGCTGGGGTCTAGCTCTGACCAAACTGTGGCTGCCTTGAGCTGTAGCAGGAACCTCTCCCAGAAGCCTCAGACTTGCTCTAACCCAGGCCCTGTGCTTTCTCTCAGCCTATCTCTGCAGTCACCCCAGAGGCGATTGGAGCCAGGAACTACCACGCAGGTAAGGGCTGCTCAGTCCCTGGTCCGTTGCTGTGAGCACTGCCATGTTCTGCCTGCTGCCTCCTGGCTGGCCCACGGCCTGCTGCAGGGCTTTGAAGCATGTGGGACTCTTCTGCTAAGAAGTGGCTTTTTAATTATGTTCTGGAGGCCCTCCTGCAGCCTGCTGGGCTGGGATGCCCAGCAGCAGCACTGCTCCTCCCTCAGCATGCAGCAGGTTGTTGTCATCTGCCAGCCCAAGGTGTGGGAGCTGGGGCATGCCCTGGAGCAGCCCTGCTCCCCAGGCAGGAAGCTGTGACTGGTGCTTGGCAGATCTGGGTCTTCTGTCACCTTGAGGCAGAGCTGCTGCAGCACACCCCGGTGTGGGTAGAAGGAGGTTACCCCGTGCTCTCACAGTGTTCCTCTCTCACAGGTTTTTCCATGTTTGGGGCTGGCCTGACCGTGGGGTTATGCAATCTCTTCTGTGGGGTCTGCGTGGGCATCGTGGGCAGCGGGGCTGCCCTGGCTGATGCTCAGAACGCCAGCCTCTTCGTCAAGATCCTGATTGTGGAGATCTTTGGCAGTGCCATAGGACTGTTTGGAGTCATCGTTGCTATCCTGCAGGTACCTCCCTCCTGGGGCCATCAGGCTTATGTAAGCACAAGGTGCTTGTCACCCTGGGTGCTCTTCAGCTCCAGGGAGAGACACCTGCACTCCAGCACAATCTGGGGAGGCTGCTCACAAGGTCTGGGGTGGCATAGCTCTCCCCACAGCATACTGTGCCTATTTGCAGCAGTGTGAACTCTTGATGTCCCCTCTGAGCCACTGTCAATGAAGGTGTCACCCTGGGTGCACCCTGTGTGATGCTCCTGTCTTACCAGTGGGGCTGAAAAACAGTCTGCAGCTTCTGGATAGTCCCAGGGTGCTTGGGTGGGATTTGGGTGCTGGGCAGGGGTTTCTGTGCCACTCTTATCCTCTCTTCTTTCTTTCTAGACATCAAAAGTAAAAATGGGAAACTGAGCCCGGTGCCAGCACGCCCCAGGAGGTGCTGTATATACTTATTTAATGTTTCTATCCTTGACTGGGGCGGGAGCTGCCCAGCAGCAGAAGTGGGAGCCCGGCTGTCTAGATCCCTGTTCCGTGGATCCATCTGCTCCTTGGAAGAAACAAATTTCTCTGTGTGACTCCTGCCCTTGGCAGCCTGGCCCAGCCCCTGGGGCCCTGCTGCTGCTTGTCCCCGGTGTGTGTAGAATCGACCACCAGTGCAAATCTGTGTCTGTGAAATAAATATGGTTCTTGTCCAGGGATGCAGCTCTTCCTCTGCCTTGCGTGTGCTGGGGCAGCTTCCAGAGAGGAGGTGCTGGTTTGACCTGATCCCCAGCTTGGAGCTTCCAGCTCCTGGAACCAGGTGGTGGGGGTTAACCCTGCTGCCTGCTCAGCCTGCAAGAGGCCAGGCTCTCTGAGCTGTGGGAACGCAGAGCTCTGCTTTGCTGCCCAGAGCAAGTAGGAGGCTGCTGGAGCAGGTATCTGCCAGCTTCACACTGGCACTGCCCCACAGGAGGCGTGCTGGAGGCACAGGCACAGGCTGGTTCAGGGCTTTTGGTTCCCATCCAGGTAGTTCAGTGCAGAGAGAGCATTTGGTCTCTGTAGCCCCATTGTGCAGTTGGGGAGCACCAGAAGGGCAGAGGAGCAAAGCTGGTGCCCCTTTCAAGGCTGTCCTCAGCCAGCAGCGTCTTTGTGTGATTGTTGGCTGGGTGCTAGGGCTCTAATCTGCAGTGTCTCTCCATCCTGGGGGGCCCTGGCAGACATCCTGGAGGTGGGGGATGCTTTGTACTGGCTCTGCACCCCTCTCCCTGGCTGTGGTGAATGCAGCCTGGGGAAGAAATCGGCTGTGGACAGCTGGGCCTGCAGCTCATCTGCTGCCTGGGGGAAGGGAAGAGCAAGGTCCTCCTGCCTCCGCTCTGCAGAGAGCCTGGAGCCGATGCTTCTGTGGTCTCCTGTGTCCAGCACAAAGCCCTCATCCTGCTGGGCTGCCAGTACATCTTTGCAGGGGAAGGATGGGTCTCCTGGTGCTGCTAGTGCTGCGTTACAGTGGATGCATGCCTAGAGCTGCCCATCTCTCCACCGGGCTGCTGGAGCCAAGGAAGCAGTCATGCCTGCTGATTTTTTTACCCTTGGACTGGGATGGCTGCCTGTGCTCAGCTTTTCTGAGCTCTGCTGGTCTCCAGGCTCTGCTCCCTGTTGCCCTGTGCATTTTGGGACAGCAGTGTGTTTCTGCCCTGGGTGGGGAAAGGCTGCTGGGGCAAACCAAGCCAGTGCTCCAGCTAGCTGTGCTGGCTGTCCTCTGGGCTGGGAGGCTGAGAGGAGCTCCACAGGTCCTGCGTAACAGCAGGGGCACAAGCTGGGCCCTGGATGGTCAGAGGAGTGTCAGGTATGGCATAGTTTTGCTTGTGCTGCATGAGGCCTGTACCCTGGTCCTCTGCAACTGCTGCCGCTGCAGGCCAGAGACATCTGAAACCCCAGGAGCTGCAGGGCCATAGCATGGGTCTGACATGTGGAGTTGCATTCAAGAAGGATATGCCTGAGGTTGGAGAGCCTGTGCCGTCTGGGTAGAGAAGTTGTTCTGTGGGTTGTCTTCCTTGTTAACAACTGCCTTGGAAGACTTGCCTACTTGTCTTGTAGACTCTGTCTACAGGTCTCGCCCTGCCCTGCCCTGGCTTGATAGAAGTCCAGGAATCTTCCCTCTGAGAGGTGCTTTTCTGCCCTCCAAATCCTGCTTAAGCATTGTGGCTTGGGCAGGGGAGTGGGCTCCAGACTTGTCCTCAGATTCTTTGTTGAGGACCCAAGACCCACCAGGGCTGGTTTCATGGTGGCTGGGGTGGCCCACAGCCCACCTCCTGCAGCTGGTGGTGGTGAGGTGAGCACACCCTACACTCCCTTGCTCTAGGTGTGTGCACTGGGGTTCAAGGACCTGGGTGTGCTAAATACCTGCTGTTCAAGCAAGGAGAAGCAGCTTAAGCGGGGCTCCAGTGTCTTGCACCTTGTCTCATTTAGAAGCCAGAGCAGCGGGAGCGGGAAGATGGTTTGGTGAAGGTGTGTAAGTACTCATAGGGGAAATGCCACCTGCTGAAGAGCTGAACCAAGAGCTGAAAGCAGAAAGTTGGACAGATTTCAGCAGGGGTTGCTTGCAGGGGTGGAGCAGGGCTGGGCTGCCTGGGTGCTGCTCTGGTCTTTGCTGTAGGATCATCCTCTGAAGGGAGCTGCCGTGGGACAGAGGGGAAAGCCCTGGTTTGGGCGAGCAGCTGGCACAGGGCAGGAGAGGCCTTGGGAGACAGGAGCTACTTACAACAGGTGCAAAGGCCGTGGGGTAGCTGGCAAGAAGGGAGAGGCTCCAGATAGCTCAAAAATTACATGCGGTGGGCCGAACTCATGGCAGGACCAGCCCAAGATCTTTCGGTGATGCCGTTGTTGTGGGGAGAGTGAAACTCCCCGTGTTTCCTAGCAATGAAACACGGAAGCGGGGGAAGAAAGGAGCCAGAAATAGGTTGTGACGGGCGCTGAGCCAGCCCCAGTGCTCGGGGGTCGCGCTGGGTGGGTCCCGGAGAGCGCTGCCAGCAGCGCAGCAGGACGGAAACACCGAGAGACC